GTCTGTCTCCCCTGGGTGGTGATTTCTCGCTTTCTGTCTCTTTGTCTCTCTGTCTGTCTGGTGAGCGCACGCGCCCTATAGCAAAAATCTCTTCAAAAAAAAGAAGTGAGGAGACTGCAGCAGAGGACAGGCAGGACAGTCCACGAGGCTGCTGCCTAGAGCTCGTGGAGGACAGAAAACGCGCCCTGTGGGCCGGTTCTGGGCTGGGGTCTCCAGCAAAATGTGGGAGTGCCCCCTTGGGATCAAAGTGAGTCTCTGCAGTCCTGCCCCTCCGCTTCTCAGGCTGGGGCGATGCCTTGGGTGGGACGGCCCTGGGAAGGCACCCTCTAATCCGGCACAGCCGGGCTCACCGGGAGAAGAGATGCGCCAGGGAAGAGATGTCTGCGTGAAGACGCAGAGACGCAGGGAGAATGGAGACGGGGCAGAGGCCGGGACGATGCACGTATAGCCAAGGGGCACCAAAGACGTGGTGCAGTGTCAGATGGCAGAGGCACACAAGCCCCTGGGGCCAGCGAGGGTGTCCAGTGTGCTCCAGGCCACCTGGTTACGGCTGCCAGGACACCAGCACTGCACCCACTCGGTCGTCCTCGCTGGGAATGCGATTTAGGAGCTAAGAAAAAAGCGGTCGCGTTTCGAGCTGGGTTAAGGTGGCGTACTGGTCACACCCTCACTCTCCTGCTTGAAAAGGTTTTCCGAGTGAGAAGGCGGCTCCCGGGCAAAGACTGTTCTCTGGAACACTCCAGCCGTGGGACGCCCAGCTGTGGACACTGCCGCAGCTGCGTGGTCGGTGCCCAGTCGGAGCTGGGGACAGGCTGTAAGGCCCCCCCTGGATGCCGAGCCACGGAGCTGCGTTGCGGACACCCTTAGCTAGACAGACAGCCCTTCAGACCCTCCAGGACACCGCCCACACTCCCCGCTATGCAGCTACAGCAGAGGGCTGTGCAGATTTCCAGACATACATCTTTTTTTAATTATTTAATTCTTGTCATTATTATTTTTTAATTTGCTACACAACACATACACTCATCAGAAACACAGAGAGAGAGAAAGTGAGAAAGCAAGCCACCAGCTCTGGGATTTGAACCATGGTTGGCCATGTGGGAGTCCAGCATCTTTAAACACTATGCCACCTGCTGGTCCGATCTTTTTTTTCTTTCTTTTTTTTCTTTTTTTGAGATTTTTGCTGTCAGGCATGTATGCTCAGTAGAGAGACAGAGAAAGTGCGAAATCACTCCCCTGGGGGATGGCCATACTGCAATCCCTTCTCCTTTGTTCTCCTCTCGGGACATGGGGCACACGCACACGCACACACACACACACACCAGGTGTGAGCTTCAAGCCACCGGGTCTGGGCCTTGGATTGTGACTGGCCACGTGGGAGTCCAGTGCCTTAACCACTTCATTACCTGCCGGCCCCTGGGCATACACCTGATCTACTGCAGTGGATTCTCAGAAAACTTTTAACTTAAAATTTGGATTTATGGAAAAATTGCAAAGACAACTCAGACACTTGACTCGCTCTCTTCTCTAACGCTAACCTGCAGGTTTCTTCTCAGTTCTCCCTTTCTATTTGCTAGAGGGTGCATATGCTCGCTAGAGAGGGAAAGCACCACCCTCCTCGGGGAATGTCCACGCCGCAATCCCTTCTCCGCGTCTCAGGATTTGGGGCATGCATACATGCCTGGGTGACTTTCAAGCCACAGGGTATGAGATTTGGACTAGCCAGGTGACCCTGTAGGATCAAGCATCTTACCCTTCACGCCACCTGGCGGCCCCGCCTGGTGTTCTCTTGTGATGTGAGTTAGGGCCTTGGGCACACAGGCAGGAGACCACGAGGGGTATGGTTTGTCATGTGACGTAATGGGCATGTGACAGCGTTGTGGCTTATAACTGGTGACTCGGCCCCATCACTTGGTAGGGTGGTGCCTGCCAGGCCTGCCCACACCATCCCCTCTCGATACTCTGGTTTTTGTGTTTTCTTTGTGTTTAGTTTGCTATAGGGTGTGCACGCACTGGGGAGAGTGAGCCCCATGGGGTCTTGTCCTGCTGAGGGCCCCTCCCCCACCCCCAGCTCAGAGCCCAAGGCCAGGTGTGGCCTCCAGTGCTGTTTGCTTTGCTAGCGACTGTGTCACCAGGCCAGGCCCGAAACACATTTAACGGAGGGCCAGCCCCCAGCAGCCACTTTCTCTCCCTGCTCTTGCACCCCCTCCCTCCAGCTCTGCAGCACTGCTGAGACCCTTCCCCGAGGCTGCTTCCCGACAGAGGGGTGTCCTCCCAGCCCTGCTAAGTCCCCTCTCCTGGGCGCCTCCATGGGGCCTCCCCTCCACATGTGTACCCCAGGCCAGTCCCACCTGTGGCCCTCATGGCTCCTATTCCGGCCTCTGCCTTTCCACTCTCCCCACAGGGCCCATAGCCCCTGGGCCTGGCCTCACTCAGAAGGGCAGGCCACACCCTTCTCCCCAGGGACCCAGCTCCAGCGCCTGGGTCCACTGATCTTCCCACCGCATCCAGGCAGCATGTGCCTGGCACCTCATCTGCACAGCCTGCGCCCCGCGGCCCGGGTGCCTGCCCCACCCCTGAGCCTCCGCCCAGCTGTCCTGGCAGCAAGGAGGGGCTGCTCTGAGCCCACTGCCAAGGACCGGCCTACCCTTCCGCCTCGCCTCAGGCCTCCTTGCCCTGTCTCTCCGTGGGGACCAGCCTCATCTGGCAGCTTCTCGAGCACACGCGTCCCATTCAGGGCCTTCGCACTTCCTGTCCCCGCTGCCATCACCTGACCTGTGCACGGCCCCCTCTGGAGAGGCTTTCCTTGAGCCCCTCGCGGGCCCCGCCCTCCACACCTTTGCCTGTAAGTCGGTAGCTCTCCGCTCTGCATCCCCTCGGATCCCCAGAATGGCTTTTATTATTCTTTTTATTTTATTGTTTCAATATTTTGCCATAGGGTGTACGCACTCACTGGCGAGTGACAAAAGAGGAAAAGTGAGAAATCACCCGGGGGATGGCCACGGCCTACCTCTGCCCCTCTGCCCTCTCAAGATCTCGGGCATGCAGGCACGCACGCCCAGTGTGACTCTGAAGCAGATGGGGACTAGGTCCGGGACTCCAACGTGGTCAGCCACGCGGGAGTCCAGACATAACCACTGCACCATCGGCTGGCTCCATTTTTTTAAAAAGAATTGTTTAATTTTTTTATCATTACTGCTTTTTACATTAGCTACAGGGTATGTGCACTCACCAGAGAGAAAGTGAGAGACAGGAAGTGAGAATGAGGAAGTGAGAAAGCCGTTGGGTCTGGGACTCAAACCAGGTGGGCTGCGAGAGTCCAGTGCCGTGACAATGACACCATCTGCCGGTCCCATCTGAAACAGCTTTTTTTTTTTCTTATTTATTTAATTTATTTGTTCACTGATTTTTTAAATTTGACCAGAGAGACAGAGGGTGAGAGTGAGAGAGAGAGGAAGTGAGAAAGCAAGCCACCAGATTCAGGACTCGAACCCTGGTCGGCCATGTGGGAGTGTCCAGCGCCTTAACCACCACGCCACCTGCTGGTCCCCTGAAACAGCTTTTAACAAGAGCTCTGTCTGTGGGACCAGCAGTTAGCGCAATGGCTATGTCGCTGGACTCCCATGTAGCCGACCTCGGTTCGTGTCCCGGACCCGATGGCTTAAAACTCACACCGGGTGCGTGTGTGTGCGTGCCCAAGATCCCGAGAGGAGAATGGAGGAGAAGGGATTGCGGCATGACCATCCCCCCGGGGGATGATTTCTCGCTTTCTGTCTGTCCAGCAAGCGCACGCGCCCTGTAGCCAAAACCTCTCAAAAAAAAAAAAAAAAAACATCGCTCTGTCTGCACTTTGCAGTTCTGACTCCAGAGATGTGCAGCTGCTCCGGGGCCTGAAGCCTGACCAGGGTCGCCAGCATACTGGCCCAAAGAGCAGGTGGACAGTGCGAGGCACTGCTGCCCAGAGGCCTGTGGTGCCCACCTTCTCTGTTCCCCAGAGCCCAGAAGGCCCTGGGGCTGCAATGAGAGCCGGGAGCTCTCTGGACACCAGCAGACGCGCATCCACCCTCCAGGAGGCCTGGCACCCTGCTAGGATGTGCAGTGTCCCACATAGATCCTAGGAGGGACACAGCTGCACCTTCAGGTGACCTGGTCCCGGATGCACCCCAGCACAGACCTGCCCTCTGGATTCTCTGTCCTACTGCTGACGGGAGTGGGGCTGGTCGGATTCTGACTCCTGGGAACCCGCCTTGCCTGCACCTCTGAAGTGAGGACAGGTTAAGCTCTGCTGGCCGTGGGGTGGGAGAAGCCGGCCTCCAGCCTGTGGGACCTCCTGGAGGTCTGGCTGCCTCCGGCTCCCCACGCTCTGCACTCTGCTCTGTGGTTTGTGGCAGCCTCTGGACAGGAAGGGCTCCCTGAGGCCTGGGAGCTGCGCGTGGGGGAGGCCGTGAGAGTGACCTTGCTGGAAGCTAGAGGCTTTACTGAGAGGAAGCCAGTGGGGACGGAGGTCAGCCCGGGATGGTGGCACGCAGGCCACAGGCCAGGGAGGGCAGGCACGGGGAGGGAGGACAGGGTCCTGGGAGCGCGGGGAGGGGTACGGTCACACGTCCAGGTCGGAGTGCGAGCTGCTTGGCCGGTGGTAGACCCGGTTCTTACGCTGTACGATGCCCGGGCTAAAGGCAGCACCCAGTGGCCAGTGTCGGACCACGTGCCGGTAGGACGTGGCCAGGTAGTCGAAGTAGTTAATATTGAGTTTTCGAGCGATGTGGCGGCCCAGGTATTCCATTTGCTAAGGCAACAGGTGACGGTCAGCTCTCACCTGGACAGCAGGGTCCCCACCACTGTGCCCTCACCTCTCCGAAGGACCGTGGCGAGGACCACGCTGTCGCAATATCTCCCCCAGCACACGTGGCCCCACCATGGGGAGGGCGTGGCTGCGGAACCCACCTCGTAGCGCTCAGACAGCTGCACCAGCACCAGGGGCTCCAGCTTGTGACCACAAAGAACCAGCTGGAAGAAGCACCTTCCGTAGGCTGGCAGGGGCAAGCAGGCTCAGCGGGGCCTGGGGGTTGTGCCTCCCCGGCGGCCTCCCGCTCCCTGCACACCCTCCCCGCCGGCCGGTCCCAGGCCTCACC